GATGTCAGAGTACAAGTAGTCATTACAACCGTCGGATGTCAGAGTACAAGTAGCCATAGCGACCGTCTGATGTTAGAGTACAAGTAGCCATAATGACCGTCTGATGTCAGAGTACGAGTAGCCATAGTGACCGTCTCATGTCTGAGTACGAGTAGCCATAGTGACCGTCTCATGTCAGAGTACAAGTAGCCATAATGACCGTCTGATATCAGAGTACAAGTAGCCATAGCGACCGTCTGATATCAGAGTACAAGTAGCCATGTCATGGTATAATGAGTAAAACAACCGTCGGATGTCATGGTATAATTAGTCAAACAACCGTCAGAGGTCATGGTACAATTAGACGTAGTAACCGTCAGAAGTCATGGTATAATTAACGTAGTAACCGTCAGAAGTCATGGTAATATTAGTCGTAGTAACCGTCAGAGGTCATGGTAATATTAGTCGTAGTAACCGTCAGAAGTCATGGTATAATTAGTCGTAGTAACCGTCAGAAGTCATGGTAATATTAGTCGTAGTTACCGTCAGAAGTCATGGTATAATTAGTCGTAGTAACCGTCAGAAGTCATGGTAATATTAGTCGTAGTAACCGTCAGAAGTCATGGTATAATTAACGTAGTAACCGTCAGAAGTCATGGTAATATTAGTCGTAGTAACCGTCAGAGGTCATGGTAATATTAGTCGTAGTAACCGTCAGAAGTCATGGTATAATTAGTCAAACAACCGTCAGAGGTCATGGTACAATTAGACGTAGTAACCGTCAGAAGTCATGGTATAATTAACGTAGTAACCGTCAGAAGTCATGGTAATATTAGTCGTAGTAACCGTCAGAGGTCATGGTAATATTAGTCGTAGTAACCGTCAGAAGTCATGGTATAATTAGTCGTAGTAACCGTCAGAAGTCATGGTAATATTAGTCGTAGTTACCGTCAGAAGTCATGGTATAATTAGTCGTAGTAACCGTCAGAAGTCATGGTAATATTAGTCGTAGTAACCGTCAGAAGTCATGGTAATATTAGTCGTAGTAACCGTCAGAAGTCATGGTAATATTAGTCGTAGTAACCGTCAGATGTCATGGTTATATTAGTCGTAGTAACCGTCAGAAGTCATGGTATAATTAGTCGTAGTAACCGTCAGAAGTCATGGTATAATTAGTCGTAGTAACCGTCAGAAGTCATGGTTATATTAGTCGTAGTAACCGTCGTAAGTCATGGTAATATTAGTCGTAGTAACCGTCAGAAGTCATGGTATAATTAGTCGTAGTAACCATCAGAAGTCATGGTAATATTAGTCGTAGTAACCGTCAGAAGTCATGGTTATATTAGTCGTAGTAACCGTCAGAAGTCATGGTATAATTAGTCGTAGTAACCGTCAGAAGTCATGGTATAATTAGTCGTAGTAACCGTCAGAAGTCATGGTTATATTAGTCGTAGTAACCGTCAGAAGTCATGGTTATATTAGTCGTAGTAACCGTCAGAAGTCATGGTATAATTAGTCGTAGTAACCGTCAGAAGTCATGGTATAATTAGTCGTAGTAACCGTCAGAAGTCATGGTATCATTAGTCGTAGTAACCGTCAGAAGTCAAGGTATAATTAGTCGTAGTAACCGTCAGAAGTCATGGTATAATTAGTCGTAGTAACCGTCAGAAGTCATGGTTATATTAGTCGTAGTAACCGTCAGAAGTCATGGTAATATTAGTCGTAGTAACCGTCAGAAGTCATGGTATAATTAGTCGTAGTAACCATCAGAAGTCATGGTAATATTAGTCGTAGTAACCGTCAGAAGTCATGGTTATATTAGTCGTAGTAACCGTCAGAAGTCATGGTATAATTAGTCGTAGTAACCGTCAGAAGTCATGGTATAATTAGTCGTAGTAACCGTCAGAAGTCATGGTTATATTAGTCGTAGTAACCGTCAGAAGTCATGGTTATATTAGTCGTAGTAACCGTCAGAAGTCATGGTATAATTAGTCGTAGTAACCGTCAGAAGTCATGGTATAATTAGTCGTAGTAACCGTCAGAAGTCATGGTATCATTAGTCGTAGTAATCGTCAGAAGTCATGGTTATATTAGTCGTAGTAACCGTCAGAAGTCATGGTATAATTAGTCGTAGTAACCGTCAGAAGTCATGGTATAATTAGTCGTAGTAACCGTCAGAAGTCATGGTATAATTAGTCGTAGTAACCGTCAGAAGTCATGGTTATGACCAATTTTACAACTATGACAATATTGTCATAGTTGTAAAATTGGTCAGTTATATTAGGTGCAGTAACCGTCAAAGAACAAGTGTCGTGTTGATATCATGATGTAAAATTTTATTATGACGCTGACGTCTTCCATTCGCAGGGGACGGCGCTTTAAACAAACATGCCAAAATAACCTCGTGGTTTAGAGCATACATAGGTTCGACAAAAAAAGTAGATTGTACTTCTGTCTTAGTACTTTGAGCAATTAATCCGGAAAAGATATGCGTCATAACGATGACAAATTGATACGCAACATCAGCTTTGCGAAGCACTCACATCTAATAACAGCCTGCATTTCTTATGACACAGATACTGTTGTTTAGTGTATTGCCATTATCCTCACTAAGAGATCACCGAGGTAGATACAATGCACTTACAGCTGATCCATTACAATGAGGCGCGCTGCATCAGATGCAGGCCGACAGCTACTCTGTATAGTGACGCCGACATGTGTTATTATATCTGTGTAATCTCCCCGCCTCACTCTCCTTCGCAGCAACGACATAATCTCCATCCCCAAAGACGCCCCCTGCATGCTCTCAACGACACTCCTCGTGCATACTCCGCTTGTTCGTAAGAAACTTTTTTAATTGTGTCATTGAATGATAAAAACAGCATTCTGAAATATACCGTTTGCACCCATGCGCACTTAAATGTGCTCGCATATTTTACATGCGAGACGGCAAACACATTTATCACAGTCATCACATTTTGTAACAAGACAATCCTCTTTAAGGTTTGGTCGTATGAGGGATAATCGTAGTTTTTAAGAGTTATAACTGATGCAAATCGGGGACATCCCTTTTTTCTTTATATTTTTTATGCATCATTGAATTGTTTTTATTCTGAGCATATTCGTCCTTGCTAAACATATTATTTGGCGACACGTGTGTACGCTTTGCTTCTGAATTAATGATATAGTATACCAAAGTACCCAAATACATGTCAAAGTGCATAATCTTTGCTCGATTGATGAATACTATAGGAATGTTTTCGTTAATGCCACTAGCAGTATAATGTACAACCTAGCCTTACTGGCGACAGTTGTACACCGTATTGAGTCCTTCATCTGTGACGACGACCAACACGACCACGTCGTTCTCCCGACATTGATGTCTCCTTTACTGCGCACATCTCTGTTACGAAGCTGAAAACAAGTCTAATGTTTGTGGAGAGAGGCGAATGCGTTTAAGTATACATCAGGGGCATTGGGGACATGTCTTTGAAGACGCATAACATTCCGCCCACTGTCAAAACATATTACTGTGCATTTGATGCTTATATTATAATTAAACGTTAATTTAGATTCTGCATCGCCTTTGCTTATTCATGTGTAGATAGGAAAATATTGATGCAGTCCCCTTTTCAAGGAAGGGCAGGGAGTAGCTAATTGTGCGTTATGTGATTGGGAGGGCGGGCTGAAGGTATGTGTCCGTCTAGTGATAGAGTGTGTGTGTGGGGGGGGGGGAGGGGGGGGGGATGTAGGTATGTGTCCGTCTAGTGATAGAGTGTGTGTGTGTGTGTGGGGGGGGGGGGGGGGGGGGGGTTGGGGAGGATGTGGTGATGTAGGTATGTGTCCGTCTAGTGATAGTGTAGGGGTGGGTGGGGGGATGTAGGTATGTGTGCGTTTTGTTACAGGTGGCTGGGTGATGTTGGTGTGTGTGCGTCTGGTGATGGCTTAATGGGTGATGAAAGTATGTGTGCGTCTAGTGATGGGAGGAGGAGTGATGTAAGTGTGTCTACGTCTAGTGATGGGAGGAGGGGTGATGTAGGTATGTGCGCGTCTTGTTATAGGTGGCTGGGTGATGGTGGTGTGTGTGCGTCTAGTGATGGCTTAAGGGGTGATGAAAGTATGTGTTTGTCTAGTGGACGAGAGGACGAGTCATATATGGGTATATGTAAATGTCTCGAGGGATGGCTTTGGAAAAGGGGATTGTAGGGTGAGGTTGATGTGCACAATATAGTATATAGTGGGTCAACATTTACACGCTTCACATCCTTCGAACGTCCATTGCGATGTGAGTACCACTGGATTGTGTGTTATGATCACATCACAGGGGAAGGTACACCAGTCACTGAGTCACGCCGCGCGATACAAAGAAAGCTCTATTATTCTTTGAAGTTGAATCCAACAATACCATCATGTGAACGAGCGAAGTTATCCTCGCGTTATATATAGCACCGTTTATTAACACATAAGGCCCACATCGTTACCTAATATCCAATCATATATAAATCCACCACGCAATGGATGCGAGTTTCCCACAGAACAACCACCCACTATCACAATTTGCGGTTACAGATTTATTTCCCAGCATGGATTAATATAATGTGTATATGTATCGTTATTCATTGATACCATTCATCCATGGTAGCCCTGTCGTGTTGGATATGCCCATTGAACAACGCGTTGCCTGTCCAAGCCTCTCTCTGTTATGCCATATATTGCACATTTACATCGAGTGAGTACATCACACACATGTGTGACTGTATGTGACCACGTCTCAATGCATTATGCCAGCCGTGAATGATTCTATTGTAGCCAGCCCCCGATCAGTCTGGACGCTGGCCCGCTTGCAATGCCGCTCAGTAGGTGGATATAAATAGAGTGTTCACCCAACCCCTCAACGAGATGAATGAACGAAAAACGAATCTGTGTATGTTCCATATTAAGAAACGGCAATAGCCAATCAGCGACGCGTATCCCGTTGGCCCGGCCCACCAAATTCAGACGAAGAGAGAAGACTGTCTCGCGTGTACACTACAAAGTATAGTCAGTGAGTTGGACTGAGCTAGACCAAGCTCGCGTCTGATACTGGTCGCCAAATCAACGGATACCTTGCTTCTGGATTACCGTGGCTGTGATTTCCCATAGGATCTCTCGGATAACTTCACCATGCTGAGGATAGCTACTTGTATTGTCTTGTGTGTCGCTCTGACGGTAAGTGTCCCATAGGACTTCACTTTGACAGATTTAGGTTTTAAATTTCCATATCTTATACGCCATCGAAGTCAATGTCTATATCTGTATTTGAAATCTAATATACAAGAAAAATAGAAAAATAACTGAATTTAAAATGCGAGTGTTACGAGTTAGCAAAAACAAAAATAACTTAAATATTGTATCCATTTAGATCTTTTTGAATATAATGAAACAAAACCCACAGCTTTTTTCCTTTAACAAAATTAATATTTTAAACATTCTTTATAACTAATGCTACTTATTATCATATAACTTTAAGAAGAGCAATCCGTGTTCGGCCTCCCAGTGAACAAATATCAAATTGCTAACTAAATAATTGTTAAATTTGCAAATTGTTGACGATATAAAAAGATTTTTTGGTGTTTTTAAGTTATAAAATTGATCGAGTTGAAAACTCCAAAAGATGACATGAGTGATAATCTATGTCGCATTATGCTGGCAGATGGTGTCACTGGCCCGGTCTCGCCCTACACTTCAACAACAATACCCAGTCATATCCGCGGGGAATCTGCATTTTTAGCAGCTTGCTCCAATCACGGGTTAATATTTGATAAGCTCTCGTGCGTCCTATTCCATTATTTATGATGAATGTCATTGTGGTAACCCCTCTCTTCCCGCTCCCCGCTTCTTGTTGGTACATTTCACTCTGTTATCTACTTAATGGTAACGTGCGTCGGGACAAAACCGCAGTTCGAGTGGTCCCCTCATCAGCTAGCTGTTTGTTGACGTGTCGCCTCATCAGATGCAACGATCTATCTCTTGGTCGACTGAAGTATACGCACCTACAGGGGTATTGGGTTGTCTTGGAACAAGCATTGATGAATCGTTTGTTGCACAGCGGCCAAACGTCTCTCGTTGCTAATGTAATACCCACAAGCCTAGCACGCCAAACTTGAAATACACACGTTGATAAAAAAACATCTAGTGTTGTATAACATACATATATACTTATGAAAAACACAAGTTAATAACAATATGAAATGTGTACACCACGTAAATATTCTTGACATACAAACGTTGATAAAGATACTGTTGATGGCAGTTTGGGCCCATACTTTTGTAATACGGAACTTGTATGATCAAGTATTGTATATCATACAGTCACTCGTGGCTGTCATATATCTATGGTATAGTGTGAACTACTGACACAATCAAATTGATATATAAATAAGGAGATTTACAAAGCTTATGACATAAACAAACTGACAGATACGTCAAGTATGCTATTACAAACATATCACCGTGAAATAAGTAGGATAATATACACATCAAGTATGGAATAATATATACATCACCATGAAATAAGCAAGATGATATATACATCAGGTATTGTATAATACATATCATTATGAAATAAGCAAGATGACATATACATCTAGTATTATCTAAAACAAATAAAACCATGAAATAAGCAATATGATCTATATATATCTAGTATTATCTAAAACACATAACACCATAAAATAAGCAATATGATCTATATATATCTAGTATTATCTAAAACAAATAAAACCATGAAATAAGCAATATGATCTATATATATCTAGTATTATCTAAAACACATAACACCATGAAATAAGCAATATGATCTATATATATCTAGTATTATCTAAAACAAATAAAACCATGAAATAAGCAATATGATCTATATATATCTAGTATTATCTAAAACACATAACACCATGAAATAAGCAATAACATATACACATCAAGTATGGTATCAAATACCTATCATTATGAAATAAGCACGATGATATATACATCATATATTGTATAATACATATCACCATGAACTAAGCAATATGTTATATACATCTGGTATCATCTAAAACATATAACATCATGTAATAAGAGATATGATATACATATCAAGTATGATATAACATGCATATCATTATGAAATAAGCGATATGATATATTTATCAGGTATTGTGTAATACATGTTATCATGAAATATGAAAGATGATATACACATTAAGTATGGTATGAAAACATATCACCTGAAAAAACAATGTGATACTAGTATATACATCAAGTATGGTACAAAATACATATTACCATGAAATAAGCAAGGTGATATGTATATACATCAAGAAACACATATCAACATGAAATAATCGATATGATACTAGTATATACATCAAGTATTGTGTTAAATGCATATCCCCATAACATAAGCAAGTCGCTATATACATAACGTGTAGTGTAAACTTACATGTAATTTTGAAATATACAAAAGGATATATACATCGGGTATTTTATAAAATACATATCACCATGAAATAAGCAAGATGATATATATATTTAGTATTATCTAAAACACATCACACGGTGAAATAAGCAATATGATATACACATCAAATATGGCAAAAAATACATATCATTATGAAATAAGCAAGATGATATAAACATCAGGTATTTTATAAAATACACATCACCATGAAATAAACAAGAGATTATATATTTAGTATTATCTAAGACACATAACATCATGAAATAAGCAATATAATTTATACATCAATTATGGTATAAAATACATATCATTATGAAATAAGTTACATGATATATACATCAGGTATTTCATAATATACATATCATCATGAATTAAGCAACATTGATATATACATTAAGTATGACATGAAACACATATCACCATGAAATAGCCAATATACATGTAATATACATCAAGTATGGTATAAAATGCATATCACCATGATATAAACAAGTCGCTTTACACATCAAGTAGGCCATAACTTCATATCTTATAATATACAATTATAAATATCACGGTGAAACAAGATAATTATATTCTTAATACACGTTACATATACATGTATATGCAAGTTTGACCTTTCATGAGGCAAGTTTGACTGATGCATATATATATAAACAAGTGATTTCGTCAGGTGTATAAGTATTAAATATAGAAAAAACAGCGTCCAGATATTCGTGCTTTTTAAAACCACTTTATCTTGCGAAAGATCTTGTGTGGATAAAGGAGTTTTGACAAGCACGAATATCTGGACTCTCTCTCTCTCTCTCTCTCTCTCTCTCTCTCTCTCTCTCTCTCTCTCTCTCTCTCTCTCTCTCTCTCTCTCTCTCTCTCTATATATATATATATATATATATATATATATTTCCGTTTTATAAATTGTATACAAGTAACAAGCAACTGAGACTGGAAAAAGAACAAATGTTTATCCAATTGATGAAACCCAAATTGAACTCTAGAATGTTTTAATAGATTTCTCATTTCAATCGTAAATGTTACACTGTTACTTTACAAATACTGTATATTCTAATTCAAATGTCTCCCTACAATTGTCAAATTACTTGGTGTCGTCGCTGGAGTGTGTAAATAAATTATGACGTCACAGTTGTAATTTATGACGTCATCATAAGTATGACGTCATATTATATGTCATTGTCAGTTACACTGAAGAGCTGTCGTGAGACAGCGAAAGTACTATGTCTGAAACTGATATAAAGAAGATGATGGACTAACGTGGACTTTATTATCTTATTATATATTACATGTACACCGAGTGAACATTTACCTCATTTTTGTATATATATGCCTGGCAGCTACATATATACATACACGTGTCTGTCAGTAACGCTCAGCTGACATAGACAGCAGACTGCCTGCTGATTGAGCGACCTGTCTGTAACAAGGCAAAGAAACATGTTTTGGCAGAACATGAAATCAGAAGCATGCAAGATAGATGGCGGCAAGACAAAAAAAATAACGTCCACGTGAATCTTTCCCCAATCAGGCTCGACACAACAAAACTCACCGATGCTGAAACCAGCTACAGCTATATACACATTTCTATTTTGTTCTTCAAAGCAACACCTTTAAACACATAGCCAAACCTGTTATCGGACAAAAAATGTCAAATTACTTGAACTTATAGCTAGGGATATCGCTTACTGATGCTGTAACTTCAGATAGTCAAGTTCCTAGCCCGAACAAGGGCGTTCTACAAGCAGGCCGGGTTTTCAATTTTCAGTCATCGCTACCGTTTAAGTTGCGATGCTTTGATGGACTTGGCCAGGCAATCTTTGAAACGGAAATTTACTTTGGCAGAGAAAAGTTGCATGTTTTTTCATAAAGGCTTATCTAAACAGTGTGTTTATCTGATCACTGATTATTTCACTGCAACTACTTCTAATCTTCCCTCAGGACTTTTTTCTTTTCTCTGATTCAAAGTGATGCGTCCTGAGATATAGGGCCCCCAGATTGCATTACCGGGATACTATCTGGCCGACAAACACGAACTTAATGGACGTCAAGCGTTAAACATCTACACTTTAAACGACCTCACATTAACCGTTAGATTCATTTCCCATCCCGGAACACTACCAGCCAGTGCGGAGAAACCAGAGACGCGTGCATGCAATAAGCTGTCAGTTTCCGTTTGTAAAATATTAAACCAAATAAATCATTCGTTTCCAATCGTAAGAAACCATCCGGTATCTGTTTTACTGGTGATGTAGGGTGTATCTTTGTCGTTCCTGAAGCTGTTTCAAGTCATTCTATTGAAATACCACCGCAAATTTTCGTTACTACCAGGAAGCACTTACGACATGTTTTTGTCTGCGCATGTGCTAGTTGAATATGAAGAGTCCAAACTACGTCACGCAATGCCAGATTTGAAAATTACTTCTATGGCTCAGAACATCAGCTTAGTTGGTGCGCGTAGGTGAAGGCCGTGTAGAATCAACGCCATCGCACGACATGTGCGATTTGATCACGTGATGAGCACACCCAATGAAAGGTTTACGGGAGGAATTTTACACAACAAAACAATACAACATACCACAAGCTGCTTAAAAACGATATAAGGATCTATTCCGAAACGTCGCCATTACAGTAAAATAAAGAAGTTGTTATCCATAAATTGTGTATACTTTGTCAACTTCTCAGGAATGCCTATAAAAATATTTATACTACA